AGCGGAACCCCGGGGCGTACATCCGACCCCTTGGCAGTGCACATTGTCCCACGCCTGCCACGCAAAAGAGGCGGAGACCCAGGGACGCCAGCGGAACCCCGGGGCGTACATCCGACCCCTTGACAGTGCACATTGTCCCACGCCTGCCACGCAAAAGAGGCGGAGACCCAGGGACGCCAGCGGAACCCCGGGGCGTACATCCGACCCCTTGGCAGTGCACATTGTCCCACGCCTGCCACGCAAAAGAGGCGGAGACCCAGGGACGCCAGCGGAACCCCGGGGCGTACATCCGACCCCTTGGCAGTGCACATTGTCCCACGCCTGCCACGCAAAAGAGGCGGAGACCCAGGGACGCCAGCGGAACCCCGGGGCGTACATCCGACCCCTTTATTGTCCCACGCCTGCCACGCAAAAGAGGCGGAGACCCAGGGACGCCAGCGGAACCCCCGTACCGACCCCTTGGCAGTGCACATTGTCCCACGCCTGCCACGCAAAAGAGGCGGAGACCCAGGGACGCCAGCGGAACCCCGGGGCGTACATCCGACCCCTTGCAGTGCACATTGTCCCACGCCTGCCACGCAAAAGAGGCGGAGACCCAGGGACGCCAGCGGAACCCCGGGGCGTACATCCGACCCCTTGACAGTGCACATTGTCCCACGCCTGCCACGCAAAAGAGGCGGAGACCCAGGGACGCCAGCGGAACCCCGGGGCGTACATCCGACCTCTTGGCAGTGCACATTGTCCCACGCCTGAGTGAGTGAGTGAGTGAGTGAGTGAGTGAGTGAGTGAGGGAGGGAGGGAGTGAGTGAGTGAGTGTGTGTGTGTGTGTAACATCTGGATAGATGTAAAACTTCCTTCTTTTTCTTCTGTCTTCTCCCCTTTTTAAATAATGCAGGGGGTGCCAGGGATGCACACTGGACTGGCACCAACGAAGACGCCAGTGTGTCATCTGTGATATCGATGGGGATGCTCATCGACGTACCTGCCTTTTTTGCGATTTACTGAAATGGCAAGGGGCTAAGCCAAGAACCCCACCATCAATTTTCCATGTTTTCACGGTTACCGCAATCTGAACAATTTTTTTGGTCAAATCTACTTGCATGTTTCAGGATTCAGTTCCTGCCGGATCACTCAATTGATCCATTCTTATCTAGTGTGATTCCTATGGTGACTCCGACAAGGTGCCATAGGGCCAATTGAGGCAACCCCAGTTGGGGTCAATGTCGACTGACTTGACTTCCGAATTTACACTTTTGAATTAGTAATTCGTTTAAGTAAGCTGAAACAGTTGGCCTTGCGATTTACCAGCCTTTTGGGATTGTCCCGCTGCTCTTGTGGTCCCAGGGTTCCTCGCCGATTGCTTGTCTATCAGAGTGAAGCTGGTCGGAACTACCAGAAACTTCATTTTTTCGCTGCAGCTTCAGCCTTTGAACATTTGGTGCAACAGAAAGGCAGGCACATGCTTTCCAGGTGTGGTCCTTTTTCTTTTGATGGTTGTCTGGTGAGGTTAAACATTTTGTGCATCTAATTCGTTGGAATTTGAACAGCCGTTTTATGCCCTTGTGGCTGACTTGAACACGGGCCTGGAGTGGCACAACGCACGACTTCTAGGTAGTTAGGAACTGAATCCTATTGTTTTGGTTTGCTTGTCTGTCATCAACTAGTCCCCCATTTGGTCCCTAATTTTTTCCCCGCGTGCTTCTCCGTAATGTGTCGTGGGGTTTAGGTGCGTGCGCTGTTTTGGTCAGGTCCGTTTCGCCGTGTAGGTTGGTTCCGGAGGTCCGTCTGTTCCCCTCCCCCCCTGCGTTGTTTTTGGCCGTCTGCCTGTCGTGTGTCCGCTTTTTTCTTCCTCTTGCCTTTCAGGGTTTTCCCGGCTCTGCCGGGTGTGTGTGTGTGTAACATCTGGATAAATGTAAAACTTCCTTCTTTTTCTTCTGTCTTCTCCCCTTTTTAAATAATGCAGGGGGTGCCAGGGATGCACACTGGACTGGCACCAACGAAGACGCCAGGGTGTCATCTGTGATATCGATGGGGACGCTCATCGACGTACCTGCCTTTTTTGCGATTTACTGAAATGGCAAGGGGCTAAGCCAAGAACCCCACCATCAATGTTCCATGTTTTCACGGTTACCGCAATCTGAACAATTTTTTGGGTCAAATCTACTTGCACGTTTCAGGATTCAGTTCCTGCCGGATCACTCAATTGATCCATTCTAATCTAGTGTGTGCGAGTGGTCCTATAATTGTTTGGATTTTTGACTTGTTGCCAGCCACAGCTGCAAACGCCATACTGGGGAAGAACGCGCACTGGGGAAGAACAACGTCTTCTCATACAATTCATGCTGGCACATGCTGGCTGGGAATCGTTCTTCTCGATAAGAAGAATTACCCGCAAAATGCCCGCAACTGCTAGTGCACAGACACAGGCTCAGGGCAGAAAAACGTTGCATGACCTTGGAAAGCACGGACCATTACAATTTTGTGCCGGGTCAGTGCTTCCGGGGTGGTAGACGCAAAAGTCTAGCAGGCAAATGCAAGGCCACCGGATGGTCAAGCTAAGATGAAAACAGTAATCAGCTCCCATGTTCCCGGGGCTGGTGCTGCTTCATGTTTTTCAAGCCATTGACTTAAATCCATCACACATGACACGTTTTTTTCCCGAATGCGTAGCGAAGGGTTCCCGTTTATAGTCTGGGGTCTGGGGGCTGGACCTTTGTTTGCGTTGCGTGCGTCGTGTCGTCGTCGTCTCGTCGTCGTCGGGGTGTTAATTCCGTACCATTCAGAATTGCATCGCAACGTGTCCCTTTGGACGTGTCCCAGAACGCTAAACGCATTGTGAATGCCACGTTTAGAAGTCACTTTCCACGTGTTCTTTTGCGTTTCGTGTGGCAGGCGCAATACTTTTGACATGCTTTCAAACGTTGGACTTGAGATTTCCTGGCAGGCGCAATACTTTGGAGAGGTCTAGTTGCATTTGTCGTGGCAGGCGCAGCACTTGAGACGCGTGCTTTGCAGCGGTTTTTGCAAATCGCCTTGGCACCGGTGGTTCAAGGCGTGAAATAGCGCTAAAACCGTGGGAAAAACGTTGTTTGTCGACTGTGCCATTTTGTTGCTATTTAGATTGGGTTGACAAGCTCTCACGCTGAGGTGTGGCAGTGGCTGAGCCTGTAGGACTTTCCGCAAGACGTGTCTCTGTGGACGTGCCCCAAAAGGTTAAACGCATTGTGAATGCCACGTTTAGAAGTTACTTTGCATCTCTCGTTTTGCGCGTTGCTGAGGTGTGGGAGTGGCCGTGCCTATAGGAATTCCTCCAAAGTGTGTCGCAAGAGTGTCTGCCAAGAGTGTCCTCCAAGAGTGTCTCAGACAAGTGTCCTCCCAAGACTGTCTCCCAAGCGTGTCTTTCAAGACTGTCTCTCAAGAGTGTCTCTCAAGAGTGTCCTTTCAAGAGTGCGCCGCAAGAGTGTTTCAGAAGAGTGTCCCAACACTGTCTCTCAACCGTGCATCACAAGAGTCTCTCAGAAGAGTGTCTCCCAAGAGTGTCAGAGTGTCTGGGAAGAGTGTCTCTCAAGACTGTCTCTCAACAGCTTGTCGCAAGAGTGGTGTGCAAGCTTTGTGGTACAAAGCAGTACTTTGTAGTATTGTGTGCAAGCTTTGTAGTCCAAAGTAGTACTGGGAAGTACTTTGCGCAAGCTTTGTGGTACAAAGTAGTACTGGGAAGTACTTCGTGCAAGCTTTGTACTACTTCTACTGGGAAGTACTTTGTGCAAGCTTTGTAGTGCAAAGTGGGACTGGGAAGTACGTTGTGCGAGCTTTGTAGTACGAAGTAGTACTGGGAGGTACTACCAGTATTGTCACGAGTATTTCCCTAGAGTGTCTTTCAAGGGAGTCTGAAGCAGCCTGAAACGACACTGAAACAGACAAAAAATTGGGTTCGCTTTTGATCATTTGCCTGAAGAGTGTGTCCCAAGAGTGTCTCCCAAGGGAGTCTGAAACAGTGCGAATCGACCCTGGAAGAGACACCGCAAGTGTTTCAGAAAAGTTCTTAGTGTCTCCCAAAAGTGTGTCACAAGAGTGTCTCAGAAAAGTGTCCTTCCAAGAGTGTCTCTCAAGAGCGTGTCGCAAGAGCGTCTCAGAAGAGTGTCCCTCAAGAGTTCTTTCAAGGGCGTCCCTCATAAGTGTGTTGCGGGAGTGTCTCAGAAAAGTGTCCGTCCAGCGTGTCTTCGAAGAGTCTCTCCCAAAAGTGTCCCAAAGGGCGTCTTACAGAGTGTTGCGTAAGAGCGTCTCTCAACTGTCTCTCAAGCAGTGTCTTTCGAAGAGTGTCTCTCAAGGGCTGTTTTGCCAAGAGTGCCTTGCCAAGAGTGTCTCTCAAGAGTGTCTTGCCAAGAGTGTCCTTCCAAGAGTGTCTCTCAAGGAGTCTTGCCAGGAGTGTCTTTCAAGGAGTGTCTTTCCAAGAGTCTCTCATGGACTGTCTTGCCAAAAGTGCCTTGCCAAGAGTCTCTCTCAAGACTGTCTTTCCAAGAGTGTCCTTCTAGGAGGGTCTCTCAAGGAGTGTCTTGTCAAGCGTGTCAGGAGTCTGTATCTTTCCAGTCGTGGGCTTGAAGGAGTGTCCCTCAAGGAGTATCTTGCCAAGAGTGCCTGTCAAGGAATCTCTGTCAGGGAGTGTTTCTCACGCAGTGTCTTGTGTCTTGCCAAAAGTGTCTCTCCAGCCTGTCTTTCCCAGAGTGTCTCTAAAGGAGTGTGTTGCCAAGAATATCTTTCCAAGAGCGTCTTCCAAGGACTGTCTTGCCAAATGTAATCGCAGTTCCAAGGATGCTTTAGCTATACTGGTAGTCCAAACGTGAAAAGCATTCGGGTTCGTGGCTTCCACCTTGTCTTAGATTGCCATTGTCTCTTGAGATTCCAGCTGCGTCTGCGTGGGCACCTGTCACAGGCCGCTTGTCCAGCGGAGCTTGACAGGCATTCCCCGCACAGCACGGAGTCAGATGCGGAGCCGCAGACAGCCGAGGCTGAACGAATCGCATCAACTAATGGTTTGTTGCATTGTTCGTTTGAATTCGCCTCAACCCTGAACAGACTGACTTGTCAGCCACCATTGGCTCCTAGCATGTGCAGATTGACTAGTTGTGGCCCATTCAGAGGCCACATCGTGGTATCGCCTGTGACATAAAACACGGTCATGATGCGGGCTGCTGTGTTCGTGCTTCTGATCAGCACCACCTTCGCCAAAGATTTGTATGGCTCGTATGACTACATCATCGTGGGAGGTGGAGCGGCAGGCGCGGTGTTGGCAAATCGTCTCTCAGAGTCTGGCAAGCATTCTGTCCTCCTCCTCAATGTGGCTGGGGCACCACCAGATGCCTACAATGGGCCAGTGCTGTTAAGTGATGAGTTCATTGTCAAGAAGAACTTGACAGCAACCCAAGGGTTGCAACTTCAGATCATGCAACCGGGCTACTCCATGAAAGCTTTCCCAGTGAGCAAGACAGGCTCGTCACCTGCGCGCTGGTTGGGGGGCAGCACATTGCCAGGTCTGTCGCTTTACCTCAGGGATCACCCAGAAATTCTGGATGAATGGGGAGGAGGGTGGAGCTGGAAAGAGATGCGTAGTTATTTCCACAAGGTGGAAAACCTGGTGGAGGCATGCAGCGCGTACTCAAACAAGAGTTGCGGCGATTATGGCACATCGGGTGTCTACCACATCGCCAAGGAGCCCGCCTACACCCATCCGCTAACCAATGACTTCATTGCAGCTGCCCAAGCTGCTGGGTTCCCTAAGGGGGATTTGAACACCCTTCATGGCAAGGCCGTTGGTCTCCCAGCAACCACTCAGTACGAGGATGGGACCAAGGTGCATGCCTACAATGCCTATTTGTATCCAGCACTTGGACGCCGGAACTTGAAGGTTCTGGATGGGGCTCGTGCAGACAGGCTCATCATGCACGGCCGCCATTGCAAAGGGGTTGCGCCTAAACGTCCATTTATAAAATGTTTTACTATGTTATATATTTTGCTATTTTCCCCAACAGCGTATGCTTGGGGTACCGGGCAGATGGTTTGTCGTCATGCTTGAGTTTCCGCTAGGTGTCGGGTTCCAAAGGCTCAGGGCAGGGTTCTGGTGTGCTGTGGTATTTTCTAGGGTGTTGGTTCCAAGAGGGTTCTTTGTTCCAAGGACAAGTTCCTGTCTTCTGTGGCGGGTTCCAGAAGGTTTGGGTTGAAGGCCAGGTTCCAGGTTATCTGTGGTGTGTTCTCAGGTGTTGGTTCGCCGGGTTCCCACGCAAGGTGGTATTGACTTGAGATGGCAAAGGCTGCTTGCGTGTACAATCACGTCCGCACTTCCTCATAAAGCCACGCTCTCAGGGAAGGAATGGACAGAGAAGAAGGGAGACCCATTTAAATATTTCAGGCTTTTTTGACACTAATTAATAGTTAGGATTTTGTTTGATTCCTGTTGGCGGTTCATTTGCTTTTCTGCTTTTTCAGCTTGTTTGATTTTTCTGCTTTTCTGCCTTTTTTTTATGTTTTTCTGCTTCTTTCCTTTCCCCTATATCTTCCGTTTTGCTTTTCTGCTTTTGTTTTTTATGTTTCTTTGCTTTTCTGTTATTTTGCCCTTTTGGTGTTCCTTTTCTTGTTTTCTAATGTAGCGCAATGAAATGTTATTGAGTGTTGTAATGTAATGTGTTGTGATGTCATGCTATGTCATGCAATGCAATGTATTGTAGTGTATGCATGTGTGTTTGTTTGTTTCGTTGTTTGTATGTATTGACCCATCAATCTATCGACCTACCTACCTAATGTAGGTAATGCTTGCTGCGTGCACGTACGTTTGCTTCTTTCTTTTGTACGTACTCACCTGTCTATCTATCTACCTACCTACCTATCTTTCTATCTATCTATCTATCTACCTATTTTTTTCTATCCTAGCTCATCTCACCCGAATAGGTGTGGATTTTGAATTCAAGGGGTGTTATGTTCGAATTTCAGCCTTTAGTTTGGAGGTTTCTTACTATATTTGAGGAGGCTTAAACTCGAATTTACCATCTTATCCTATCTAGCCGTTTCTCTATCTATATTATCTTATCGTATTTTTCTCACCCTACCTATCTACCTATCTACCTACCTATCTACCTATCTATCTACTGCCTGCTTACCGTATCTTATTTTATCTTATCTTATCTCACCCTATCTATCAATCAATCAACCAATCAATCAATCTATCTATCTCATTGCTCCTCACTGTTCTGCTGTTTTTCATTTTCTAGATGTTTCTTTTTTACGGCGGCAAGAGAACATAACAGCATTCAACATAACAACGTAACAGCAACAACAACCACAACAACATCAGTCGCAACAACATAACAAACATTGCGCGTGCGTTTGCTGTGGAACGCCACGAGAGGGAGGTGCTTCGCCTTCCCCCCAACCCCCCTCAGCCTTGAACAACTCAACTTAGGCACGTCGACGGTGAAAAAACAAGACCAATATACCATAACGAATGCCATACCAATAAGAGGTTCCAGCCCCCAATGGCTAAGAAACCTTAAACATACCCCAAACAAATCCGAATCAACCTTTGAAAAGTTTTGGACAAACCCTAAACAAGCCCTAAACTAACAAAGCGTAAACATCCCGAAACAACCCTAAGCAAACCATAAACAAACCCTAAACAAACATTAAACAAACCCTAAACAAGTATCAGCATACCCCAATCAAACCTTAAACGCCCCTACAACAACGGTAAACATAAACAAATGACCAACAAGCCTTAAGCACACCCAAAGCAAACCCCACAACAGCGCTAAACCCTAAAAGATCCCTATCCAAACCTTGAAGAACCTTAAACAAGCCATAAACAAATCATCAGCAGGTAAAATCATCATCATCACCTTCGCCAGAAATCATTCTTCAACGGGATGTTCTAGCTCCAAAAAACAAGTGCATGCAAAACTGTCATGCAGCGTTGGTTCAAAAGGACCAAGAGCTTATCGGTTGTAGTATTGATTTTACCCCCATTGTTGGCTGACCTGGTAAAATACAGGTTATCAGCCGTAGTCTCGCCACCAGATATGGGGACCCCAGGTGACCTTCCACTCGTCGTTCCAGGGTCAGGCCCACCCGTTGCTGTTGCCTCGACTTGAGCCGGGGACACCCTCGAGCCCATGGATGAATCATGGAACCAGCCCGTTGTAGCATACTTCACATTCATACATACAAAACAAGCTTCACCAGATCACAAGTGGCAACACTCTTCAGGTCATGAGGGAAGCTGAACAACGGCATCTCCAGATCATGCAGGGTGCGGTTGACGGTTTGAGGCAAGAAATGAACAGTAAACTTGTCCAATAGGAACAGGAGTATGAGCAGAAGGTGCAAGATGTAGAATCCAAAGCAATTTCTGCAATCAATGAGGCTCACATGAAGTCTAATGTGTTGGAAGAAGCCCGGAAGAACACAACGTCGTCCCACGAGGCCAATGTCGAAAGCACCAAGGCTGAAGCCAATAGCAAGCATGACCAGGTGCTGGAACAGGAGAAGCAAAGACTTACCCTAGAGCTCAAACGGTCACTCGCGCAAACCGTCGAACACACTAAAGGCGCAATTGACGCGAACAATCAAAAGCATCAGGAACAATTAGCATTGGAACAAGCCAAGCTCATGCAGGTTAAGGCTGGGTTCGAAAAGTACAAGGCAGAGACTGAGGAGAAGCTCAATCAGGCTGCTGTACAGAATCTCAGCCTCCAGGATAGCATCGACGATCTGCAGGAGAAGTTGGACCTGTGCAGGGCGCACAGAAACAACCCAGCTTGTGGCGACCCATGGGGAATGGACTCACCAGCATGCATGCTCCGTGCCAAAGACCCATCAGCACAGATATCAAACGACATCATGTAGATGACCACCATCCATCACCATCCAGCAACTACCACAGGGTGAGACTGAAAGCGCACAAAGTACCCTTTAAAATGGCACTTCTCACGCTGCCTGATACCTGCACATCTTGGGACTTGCATGTCATAAGGGCTGTCCCAGGCCAATGCGTCCCCGACGGACCCCCAGCAGAAATTGACAAAACACACTGGACAATATCAGCTTTCTTTGGCTTTGATGCTGCGTTTGTTGGAGAAAGATTTCTGCATCGGGTTTCTTTTGGTTTGTTTCCTCTGACGTTCGCTGTTGCTCACTGACGATCTCCATTGAGCGGTTCTGGCTACAATATTCGTCTGCAGTTTTTGACCTGGCTCTTTATTTTCCTGTTGTCGCTCATTGTTGCCTGCTGCCCTGTGTTTGTGAAGGCTAGGTTGCAAGCATGTGTGGCAGATTGCTTTCACATCAGGTGGGGGCTCTTTCTTCCCTTGTTGCTATGCATGCTTTGCTTCTGCGCCCTCTTCACGCCTTTTCTTGAAGTTGCAAGCTGCTTCCCGAACTCAACAAAGGAAGCACGCTATGCACGGCAAACAGAAACAACCAGCTTGTTGCAACCCACGGCAAGTCAAGGCAATTTGCGAGCGTGCTTGCTCAGCGCGATACATTTTTTGTCGCCACTGGATCAAAAACACCATGTCTATGGACTAGACTAGATGGTCACCATCCGTCACCATCTGTGACCTTCCAACATCTGCCACAGGCCGAGACTGAAGGTGCACACAAAGCTTTTGTAAAATGAAGACTCGCACGCCGTTACATGCTGCACACTGTATGGGGCTAGCATGTCATAATTGCGGCCCCCGGCCAGCGCGTAATGATTGCCCAGCGTTCATGATAGAAGTTGAAAAACAGCAAGCAAGACAATTCGGATGCTTCTTGGCCTTCATGTTTTTCTTGTTCACTGTTGGTTTCTGCATCTTGTTACGTTCAATTTGTTTCCGCTATTTCGCACGGCAAACCGAAATAAATCAAAATCATTTGCCTGTCAGCATGCATGGCAAAGGTCGGTCCAGGAAACTCATGTTTAGCGGGTTTCGTTTTTGAGCCAGCCATATCAAAAACACAATGTAGTTAACCATCCATCACCGTCCATTGCCATCCATCACCTTCCGTCACACACTACACAGAGGCTGGAGGCGCACAAAGCGCCTTTATAAAATGAATATACGCACGCCGCAGCAGCACTCCTTGGGACTAGCATGTCATAAGGGAATGCGTAATGAATGACCCGTACAAACGAGACAATTTCGGATGCTTCTTGGCTTTCATGCTTCTCTTGTTCGCGACATATGTCTCTATCTTATTTTCTGTTGTTGCTTATGGTTTCCCCCTGTTCTTTATGTGCCACAACACGATTGCAAATATGCCTGGCACATTTGCTTTCAACTCAGATGAGGTCTTTCTTTGTTTGCTGCTACGCGCCTTCGCCACACCGTGGCTTGAATCTTCACCTTCTGTCCCGAACCCACAAAAGAACGAAAGGAAACATTACCTCGCACGGCAAACAGAAACAAACCACTTTGCGGCAACAACCCATGGCGAGCCACAAGAATTCCCACACTTCTCACCAGACATTGCAATAATCGCTCAAGGCGACTCAGAAGCGTGCTCAGTGCAAAACATATATGTTGAAGGTAGTAACAGCGTGCATGACCACCATCCATCACCATCTATCACCACAGATCACCACCCATCACCATCCATGACCATCCAAGAACAGGCAAAGACTGAAGGCGCGTAAAGCGCCCTTAAAAAATGACAATTCACACGCTGCTAGGTGCCTTCACATCTTCGGGCTAGCATTTCATAGGGGTTGCTCCCGGCCAATGCGTCCCGACGGACCCCCAGCAGAAATTGACAAAACACACTGGACAATATCAGCTTTCTTTGGCTTTGATGCTGCGTTTGTTGGAGAAAGATTTCTGCATCGGGTTTCTTTTGGTTTGTTTCCTCTGACGTTCGCTGTTGCTCACTGACGATCTCCATTGAGCGGTTCTGGCTACAATATTCGTCAGTATTTTTTGACCAAATTTTTGAATTTCTGTTGTCGCTCATTGTTGCCTGCTGCCCTGTGTTTGTGAACACCAGGTTGCAAGCATGTGTGGCAGGTTGTTTTCATCTTCGGTGGGGTTCTTTCTTCCTTTTCTTGTATGCATGTTGTTTCGCCTTCGTCACCTACGCGCTTGAATTTCCACGTTCTGTCCCAAGTACAAAAACGAAAGGAAAGGCAATTGGCAAAAGCCACCAGAAACAAACCAACTTGTGGCAAACCAGCGAGGCGCCAGGGAACCCACATGCTTCTCAGTGGCCAGAACTGCTCAAGGCCTCAGGCGACTGACAAGCGTTTTCGGTGCCATCCCCCTTTCAGCAAGAATATCAAAGAAAAAACATTCATCCATCAGCATTGAACATCTGCCACAGG